GTTTAAAAGCAATGGAAATTCATTCCGAGATGGTAAATGTGTTAGGGGAATCTGTTCCTTCAATAACAATGGTTTGTAAATGGGCACTTGAGTTTCAACGTGGTCATACAAGCATTGAAGATGATCCACGCAGTGGACGTCCAAAAAGCGCATCAACATCAGAAATCATTGAGCAAATACATGTTATTGTTTCTGAAGATTCAAGTGTGACTACACGTGAAATTGCTCATACCATAGGTATTTCAGATGAACAGGTACGGCATATTTTGCATAAAGAATTACAAATGAAAAAGGTGTTTGGAAAAGTGGTGTCACATACATTAACAATTCAACAAAAACTCGCTCAAAAAAACAAATTCTCAGCGTCATTTGGATCGTTTTAAGAATAAAACCGATTTTGTGCGTTGTTTTATAACTATGGACTTGGATGGACTGAAGTTGGATGTTTAGCTCCAAAGCAATCAAAGCATGAAAAATCGGCAAAAAACCGTTTGACATCAGTTTTTTTGGGATGCTAAAGGGATTTTGTTAATTGACTATCTGGAAAAAGGTAAAACAATTAACTCTGAATATTATTGTAACCTTTTGGATCAATTGGACGCAAAAATTCGTTAGAAAAAACCTGGTTTGCAGCATAAACAAATCATTTTTCACCAAGCAAAAGCACCTGCTCAAAAGTGTTTTGTCAATGTCTACATTCAATGAATTGAAGTACAAATTGCTTGATCATCCATCGTATTTGCCAGATTTGGCACCCAGCGACTTCTATCTGTTCCGAAACCTGAAACAGCTTCCCCGTGGAAAGCATTTTTTGTCGAATGAAGAAGCTATAGCAGCTGTAGAGGCATATTTCGCAGACCTTCTAGAAACACTTCCGCAATGGAATAAAATGATTGGAAAGCCATTGGGCCAAGTGTATTGAAGTTAATGGAGACTATATTGAAGAATAAAATCATTTTTAGAATTTGGTATTCTTTATTTCAGTTTCGCTCCGCGAACTTTTCACGCAACCTGTATACTGAAAAACTACTTTTGTCAAACTTTTCCTACCAATCAGTTTTACAATAACTTTCAAGCATTCTGTCTAGTTATATAAGTCGTCAATTTTCACAATAAAATTATTCCCTTCAACACCATTTTAAGATCATTATATTATTTGTCTAAAAATATCGCACAAACTTCATAACAAAACATACTACTGCGATCAAAAAATAAGGTGAATTTGTTTATAAAATGAAAAATCTTTATTTATTCTTCCAAATAAATTTCATCGCCTTCAAAGTACTCCCCGTCCGACACAATACACTTATGCTAACGTTTTGTCCAATCTTCGAAACAGTCAGAGAAGTCTTTTTCCGGGATGGCTTTCAATACTTTCTTCGATTCGGCTTTTATCTCCTCAATCAAGTCGAAACAGTGTCCCCGGAGTGGTCTTTTGAGTTTATTGAACAGCCAGAAGTCGCACGGTGCTAAATCAGGCGAATACGGTGGTTGTGGAACGATATGGGTCAAATTTTTAGCGAAATGTTCTCGAAGAACCAATGCAGTGTGGGACGCTGCATCGTGGTGTAAAACCCAAGAATTGTCTGCCCATAATTCTGGCCTCTTGAGGCGAATAGCTTCACGCAAACGACGCATAACACTCAAATAATATTCCTTGTTAACAGTTTGGCCTGGCGGAAGAAATTCATAATGCACAATACCGATAATCAAAGAAAACTGTCAACATGACCTTGATTTTTGAGCGACTTTGGCGCGGTTTTTTCGGTCTTGGTTCACCTTTTGCACGATATTTACTCGATTGGTCGGTTGTTTCCGGGTCGTATGCATAGATCCATCTCCAAATCTCATCTCCCGTAATGATGCGTTTCATGACGTCCTGGTAGTCAGAAATCATTGTTTCACAGATGTCAACGCGACGCTTTTTTCCAAAAAATTGAGTGTTTTTGGAACCAATCGAGATTTGACGCGTTTGAGGCACAAAACATCTTTTAAAATGGTTTGGGTTGATCCAAATGAAATGCCCGTAGCATCAGCAAGGTCTCTAATTGTCAATCGACGATTTTCGAACAGCAAATCTTTGATTTCCTTGACGTGGCTTTCATCGGTAGATGTTGATGGTCGTCCGGGGCGCTGTTTGACTTGAACTCGTTCTCGGCCTTCTTTGAAATCTTTGTACCACTTGTAAACATTTTTTTGCGACATAGCCTTATCACCAAAGGCCTTCTGCAACATCCTCAATGTTTCCGCAGAAAATATTCATTCCGCAAACAAAATTTAATGCAAATTCTGTGCTCAACAAAATCAGACATAGTAAAAATCGAAAAACTCATTTTTATATGTTTACAAAAACACGTATAGCTCTGCAGCAATTGAATATATTGACATGAAACTCTGCATAAATGTCAAAGACAGTGCTACCAACCTACCAAAAAATAATTTCATGATTTTATAGTACCCGCGAAGTTTAAATGAAAAATTCACCTTATTTTTTATCACAGTAGTATGTCTATCTAATATTTTAGAAGACATCTTATTGCTAAATAATTTATTTTCACAAATAGCATGTTTAAAAGAAAAGTTCACTTGCAGCACAACAATGTTATTTTTCAATATTTTCCTATTAAAATAAGCAACTTTCAAAACGTATATTATCTACAATCATAATATGGTCATATTTTTTACATTTAAGACATCAAGCTTTCTCATATGCTACATAATTCATTCAAAATCATTAGGTGTCCAAATTTTATAAAATCATGAATTCAAAATTATTTTATGTCCTCTCACATAATGCAATATAGTCTTTTAACTTACTTAGAATCTGTAACTTAGAATCTATCTTCACGGGAAAAACATCGAAATTTTTTGTGTTTACCGTCAACTTGAGTGTCAGTTGAAAGTTTACTATCAAGATTGATGTTATTTTGAGTATTATCCTGAAATAGCTTGATATTACCTTCATTTAAGATATCATTTTCGGTGTTACCATCAAGTATATAAGCATCGATTGAGTGTGACTTTAAAGATGAGTGTAACTTTTGGTGTTACCTTCAAATAACTGGGTGTGACCTTTATTTTACATGTAATGTTTGGTGTTATTGTCAAGTAGTTCAGTATCTATTGAGTATGACTGTCAACTTATGGTATGAGTTTTTGTGTTATTGTCAAGTAAGTGTGATTTTGATTTTGGGTGTTATTTTCGATGTTGCTGTCAAATAATAGAGTATTAGAAAAGTGTAAACGTATAATTGCTAATCTGAGTGTTATTTTTGTTTTTATCCTAATGTTATTCATAAAATAAATATGTACTTTATATAATAATTTTTATATAAAGTTTAAAATAATAATCATCATTACAGACAAATTTTTAACAGTCTTTATGTATATAGATTCCTACATACACACACACACATACACACACATACACAAATACGAAAGTATATATGTAAAAGCTGTCAACAATTATTCATATATATTGATAATGATTTATATTTAGAAAATTAATGATTTACATTCAGAATTCACTGATGTATCTCTATGCATAATCATTCCTAATTTGTACCGCTTTCTGTTCGGTTATAGTCAAACCATTCAAAAGTTATAATTTCAAGAAATAGCCGAAAGCTAATTTTGCCACATGTTGAGATTTATGAACATACATCTCAATAAATAGCAAAGTTACTTTGTGACTATTTTCCCAATTGTTTAACTTCTTGGATGATTTGACAGTGAAAATTGTAAATAAAACAAACATCACTACAAATAACTACTAACGACTCTATATTGAGAAATATCAGTTAATTTTTTTACTCAAACTCAAACCATTATTTCACTGTGAACCATTATTTCACATTTCTTTTATTTTTTAAATCCATCAAACTACAAACACAATAGTAACTTTTCTAAATTCAAAGGTAATAGTTTTATAAACAGTTATTAACTTCATAGAAATATTTCAGGATCAGTCCTTATTTACAGATTTCCTTTATTTGGAAGTAACCCTATTTCAGGATATATCACTATTTGAGGATACTCTGATTTGGAAGTACACTCATTTGAGCGTATCCTCATTCATAGTTCTTTCTGTGGTTAATCCATATTTGCATGTTGATCACCAATGAAGATCCGAATTTATACCTAACTGTTGAGAGTTTGTTTAAGGATATTTTTACATCCAGTATTAGGTATTTTTGTGAGGATAGCAAAAACAATGTTATATATTTTCATATACTTTAATAATAATTGTAATATTTGTGTAATTGTCAATCTACAGTAGCATACATAGCATTATTTAGATTTTTAAATTAAAAAATATTCAATTAGAATATAGATTTTTTTAAGACATTATATAATATTAATAGCAATGTTATTTAAATTTTTTATATTATATTTTGTCCTTATATTTGTTCAAAAATACAAGTTCTGGAAATGTTAAAATATCATTTATCCTTAATTGATAAAATATTCACTATTTATGTAACAATCATTTATGTCCATTGCAATTATTCAATTGGTTGTTCTCTGTGTATAATGCATATTTATGTTTGTTCGCTATTTCTTTTATCATACTGACTGCATCCTTATACATACAATTATAAGTAATCAAATATTGAAATATCCAAAATTATAAAAAAAACAAGTTTTTGGTCTTGTTTGATACATTCATCAATTTTAACTAAATTTGTTAAAAACAAGAACTGAATTCGTGAAGATTCCATCTCAAATTTTTATGAAATTTGATAAAAATAATTTAATGACTCTAAATTTATTTATGTATACAAACGTATTGACACAAACTTTAAGTATAATACTGATAATTACATGTCATTTTTAAGGTTAGAAATCCTGTCATTTCTAAAATATTTTATAGTTTAAACACAGCATATATAATATAGTTGAACTTACGACACACACACACACATTTTCAGAAGTTCATCCATATATTTTATATAACATATTCTGATGCATACTTATATTCTGAATAAAAGCTGACTTACGCATATATTGTTCAATTTCACGTCTGCAAAGTCTACACGTGCTTGAAATTAACGTGTCGGGCCTGTTGTGTTTATTCGCTATTCAATTCGATACACGATCAGCCAATTCTTATAACCACAAACGAAACGCGTAATACACACGATTCTTCTGACTAGTGTTCCTCTCACCTAAGAACAAATTATTCACAAACGTATGCAGCCACGCGAAGCTTCATTTATTCTGATTACATCTTTTTCGTTACAACCTATGACCTAGTTTATATTCATCTTTTAGTATGAGTATCAATTTGTAATCTTTCATTAAATTATTTTAATATCGACAATGTATATAGATAGTATATTCAATCACTATATTTTATTTATACATATTCAGATTATTATTGGTTAATATATCGTTGGTATTAAAGGCCTTCACACACGAATCTACTTAAGGCTCGTCTACAATAGCTGTAAGAGTAAAGCTAAGACTCCATGCATGCGGTGAGCTGCGGCAAATGCTGCGATGACCAATCAGGAGGGAGGCGCAAGTCCGGTTGCGGCAAGCTCCGGCATGCGTCTGTCTTCTGATTGGTCACCGCAGCCGTTTGTCGGAGCTCACCGCATGCATGGAGTCTTAGCTTAAGGCTGTAAGGCTGCAACGTAAGCTGCCAGCGAATGAAAATATTTCATTTCGTGTCTTGCAACCTTACAGCCTTACTCTTACAGCTAATGTAGACGAGCCTTTACACGTAATACGTAAATCGTAAAGAAATCCTCCAATCACAATCAAAATTTAAGGACGCCATTTTAAAACTTACGAGAATAATTGATTGTGATTAGTCAGTTTCTTTACTGCTTCCGTTCGTTTGTGTGTGAAGGCCTTCAAGGGCTTTCTACAACAAGCCGTTATCAGGTCTACCACATAAAGGCTACACTCGTGAACTAAAAGGTATGTGCACCGATTTTTTGTTGACTTCGGAACGCGCTCCAACTTGAGGAGAAAGACAACCACTGCTTCATACGTCAGCGCTGTCACTTATTGGTTGGTTGGTTGGTTGGTTCTATATCTGGCTCCGGAATGTATTGCAACAGTGTCCACACGCCATTTTCCAGATAGTACTGAAAGGTGAGGTTTTATAGGGTTTGATGGGTGTTCAGAAGGAATTTGTCTATTTTCTCAAAGACGTGTATGTTCCCCAAGTCGAATGCAGCTTTGTGTAAGTCCTCTATTGAGAAATTAGCGTCTTTGTAAAACAATCTCAAAAGGAGGCAATCCGATTCCGCTGAATGTAAAGGGCACTTAAAGAGAATGTGCTCTATATTGCGCTGCCTCCATCCGCATACACAACTCTCATCAATGCATATATCTTTATCTTTCAGATGAATCCCTGTCGCAATATGATGCGATCTTATTCTAGCCATCAAGGTGATCGTACTCCTCCTATAGTTGCCCAAATCTCTGAACCAAGGAGAGGATAATAAGGCAGATGAGTGTTCGAAATATCTTTTCCCCTTGAATCCGAATTCTTGCGTAAATTCATGTACAGCATGAGCTTTATCCTTTAAAAGTTGATCATAAATTACATCCTCCGGTAAGACAGAACAATATTTCCCATCCGGGCTTTCAGAACTCAGAGACCCAAGTTTAGCAAGCAGGTCAGCCATTTCGTTGCCAGGGATATCCCTATGACCCGGGATCCAGACTAACAGTATTTCCATGCCTTTGTATACCGCCATCTGTAGTTTGTATCTGATGTTAAATGACAGGTCCGATCCAGTTCCTTCCAAGTCGAGATTATTTAGCTGGGTTAATACGCTCATCGAGTCCGTAAAAATTCCAACTCTTCTTATATTCTCCTGTAGTGAGATGTCAATAGCGCGCAGAATGGCCATGCTTTCAACCAGGAAAATGATATGGGAGTCGTGTACACGGATTGCCTCTCTGGCTTCAGGGAAAGGAGAATACACCCCGTACCCAGCCCCACCATCAGGGAGCACAGAACCATCCGTGTATATTTCTCTGTCCAGGTTAAGATTGCGAATGTCCGCGGCGGCAAGCCTCAAAATCCCTTCCGAGGATATTCTTTTGTTGTTGTACCAAAATTTACCTATCCTCCTTTTAAAATTTTTAATATTATCAAAAGTATTAAGATAAATATTGATTTTGAAAAGTCTCAGCGAGAATCTGTGATAGAAAGAAGGGAGTTTGTTAAGCTTGCCAAAATCTGTCAAAGCTACTTGTTTGTCATTAATAAAGCTGTATAAGGAATTTGACGGAATGTATTGATTTGGTTTCAGAGTCTGCTCCCCAGACCACATGTGACTATTTTTTATAAAATAAACTAAAGGGTTATTGCCCAAGTTGAGGCTTTTGATGTAAATTTTCTTTTCCAGGAATCTCCATCTATGCCATAGAGGCCATTCCGCGATTTGGTCAAGCAATATGTTCGACGGAGTCGTAGACATAAGTCCTAGAATAATGCGAGTGCATCTGAATTGAATTCTGCTCAAAGATAATAGCCGATGTGGAGTAGTCTCCGTGAGGACCAAGCCCCCCCAGTCTAACACTGATCTGATGAGACCTCTGTAAACTATGAGAAGGGTGGCGGGATGACACCTCCATTTAATGCCAGCAAATGACTTGAGAAGATTAACACGTTTCAGGCAAGAAATTCCAATTTTGGTTATGTGAGTCCTCCAGCTTAGGTTTGTATCAAACGAAAACCCCAAAAACGTGGCTCCTGGAGAGATCAGGATTATTTCGTCATGTAACTTTAGGAGTGAGTCTGTTCTATTAATATGATTTTGGATTGTGCTGAATCTATGTGATTCGTGAAATATGCACCATTTAGTTTTGTTGAGAGAGATTTTAAGGTCTAAAGCCTCAAAGTTTTTATTCAGAATTAAGAGGTCTTTCTGTAATGTATTATATATCTCCCCCACGCAGGAGTCCGCAGAGAAAATCACGACATCGTTCGCATATGAAAGAATATGTGTCTTCTTATTCAGGTTTAGGTGAATTCTAGATATATAGATATTGAAGAGGAGGGGGCTCAGTACCGAACCCTGAGGAACACCTCGATTACCCATCCTAGTGCCCAAGTGATCACCACCAAAATATCCCTTCACCCTCCTGTCCTTAAGCATAAAAACGAGAAATTTAGCAAAGTACCCAGGGATACCTAGTTCATTCAGAATATTCAATAATTTGTCAACGTTGACATTATCAAAAGCACCTTCAATGTCAATAAAAATAGCACCAACGTATTCTTTATTAAAGAACGAGTCTTTAATGAAAGTTTTGAGCGCAATGACACTATTAGCGCATGACCTGCCCTTTCTGAAACCATTTTGGTAGTGAGGTATTATGCCTAAGGATTCTGCCCACCATTCCAACCTAATTTTAATTATCTTTTCGAATATTTTTGCCAAGATATTGGCAAGAGAGATTGGTCTGAATTTATTAGAGTTAGGCTTAGGAATCAAACACATGAAATAATCTCTCCAGGAGTTAGGAAACGTACTTTGTTCAATGAATTGATTAAATAAAGCTCTAAGGCTCTGAAAGAACTTATCTGGAAGATGAACAAGGATATTCCGAGTAATCAAATCAGGGCTCGGCGCGGTTTTCTTTTTCTTTGCTTTATCAACTGCAAGGTCAAACTCCTCTACCGTGAACTCCTCCTCAAGGGGAGAGTTGCAAGCGGAAATGTATGCCTTAGGCATGTTTGAAGGTGGAACTTCAGTTTTATTCACTACAGAAGAGGAGGCAATCCGAAGGTTTTCATTATAAGGTTGCTTAACTGCGTCACGAAAGGATTCTTTAGCATCTTCAAGCCTGCCTTGTGAAAATTCATTAATAATGCTAAGATTTTTTTTATTTTTAAAAGCGGCCAAAGTTCTCCAAGTGTCACTAATATCCGAGTTTCTATTCAGTGATTCGCAAAATGATCTATATTTAAACTTTTTAATGTTCTTAAGTTTCTTATTAGTCTCCTTACAGGCCCTGTTATAATGCTCCAAGTTCTCCAAAGTAGGAGCATCTTTGAATAAAAGAAAAGCCTTTTTTTTAGCTTTTAAGATGCTCCTACATTCTTCATCCCACCAAGGAGAAGGAGGTCTACGCAAAGATGGTCTGTCCCTCATGATGGAAGCTCCTGCATTAATCAGCGAGAAGTGTATCTTATCTAAAATGTTGTTGTAAGTAAAAACAGGGTTTGCCGAAAGTTTAGATGTACTATCCTTTTTGTCATAAAGAAGTGACAGTTGTGACCCAAAACTATTGGAAAAATGATCCCAATCAATTTTGGAAACATTATAGTGGGGTCTGCAACCAAATTTGTCAGGAGTGAGGTCAAGAAACTCAATGATAATTGGGTAATGATCGCTTCCGTAAAGATAAGTGAGCGTTTGCCATTTTGCACAGGCTGATATGGAATTTGAGGTAATCGTGATATCAATGGCACTGTAATGGAGTAAGTCTTTGGAAGACCATGTAGGGTTACCATTATTTAAAATTACTAAATTAGAATTGGAGATAGCATCAGCAAATTTTTTGCTAGCATTAGCCGGATTAAAAATGTTATCACACCAGAGAGGGTGTCTATAATTAAAATCTCTGGTAATGATCAAGTTATTAGTACTCTTAAACTTAGCAAAAAAGTTATCCCAGAAGGTCGGATCGTCATCAACTAATGTATTGTTAGGTGGATTGTATACAGAGATCAACTGGTGCGGAATTTGGTTAATATTAAATTCAACGCAGCAGAAATTTATGTTGTAAGTGGAAAGAAGCTCCTCACCAAGCGCAGCGTGTGTGACCACAAAATTGAAGTCCGATCTAACTGCTATGGCTGCACCCCCTTCCGGATCTTCTTTGTTGCTGGTAATAAGAATGTAATTGTTAAGATTCATCCTATCAGTGTCTTTCAGCCAGGTCTCCGAAAGACAAATAAAAGCTGGTAACCCTGGGTATTTATCAAGAAGAGCAATAAGATCGTTAAATCTAGCTTTCAAAGATCTACAATTCCATTGCACTATGGAAAGAAAACTGTCCCGATTATTCTGAGCCATCTTCCCTTTTTATAACTATTCCAACAAAAGTAGACCGTGTTATGATAATATTTGTTTTTTTATTTGTTATTTTGGAGTTGCAATACAGATTAATTCGCTTCTTGATTTGTTCTGAGATATTCTTCCTGATGTTTGACTATTAAAGACGACAATAAAGAGCATAAACCCGATATCACGTTATGGGGACCAGAAATAATTAATTGCGGCGCCGTATCTTCAGAGGTAGGGTCTATTTTTTCACCATAATCTGTGATGAAGTTGTTAAATTCCGTCAGCAAAATCTGTTCTGTATTAGGATCTTGAATAATAGAAGGAACCACCTCCATATTTGGCGAGGAGGAGGGATAATCTCCCTCTACCTCCACCACCTCTCCCAATCCACCCTGAGGTGAGGGAAGGCAAGGCAAACTTGTTGTAAGGAAAAGAGTTTTACAATCCCCCCGCCCGGCCAGGGGTAAAGTTGTAGGAGGGGCTCCCAGATCCGGAGGGATTGGATTATCAATTACGGGAATATCCTCAGATGGGGAAGGTGTCATCTGATCCGAAGGAAGGTTGAAGCTTATTGATCTTTTTCTCTTGCGTGGTAGTGAGGTTCTGCGAGATATATTAGATTTATGTGGACTTATCTTGTTCTTAGATAATTTGTCTTCCGGATGGTTTTTCAGGTTGTTCTCTCCGCTAGTCGGCAGTCCGGGGTCCAAGTCCGAAAAGTAGTCGCTCTCCTTAAACCAGGGGATAAAGTCCGCAAACGTAGCAGATTCTTCAGCACTATTAATTTCGAACCATTTATCTGGTAGACGATGCCCGGTGGGTTTATAGAACGCCATGGCATCCGCTGGATTCAGACCCAACTTCGCCATGACAATCTTCGCTCTTCGGTTTTCAATAAAAGTCGGGCATATGCCCGACCTGGCCCTATGATTAGGGAAAGGAAGTTTCCTCCGTAGGCAGTTAATACAAGCCAGATTAGATGATGAGCAACTCTTCGAATGACGTCCCTTGCTCGCACAGGTTGCACATACCATAGCTTTCGAGCCACCTCTGCATTGAGCCTCAATATGACCGAAACGTTGGCAATTGTTGCATCTCTTTACTTTCTGTATATATGGTGCAAATCTGATCTTTTTCCCTAAATAGATAGCTGCTTTGGGAGCGGATAGACCTGCAAATGTTATCATTATCATATTGGATGGAATATACACGAACTTAGATTTATCGGCAAGATCCACTATCCTTCTTTGAATATGCTTGACTTCTAGTATTTCCGGTAGCTGGGTTATATAATGAGGAGGTGCCTGTAAAAATTGTTGGATTTTCTCCGTTGTTTCAGAATAATCAATATCTCTGGTAACAACCCTGGAAGTGATACGATAATCCGGTACGTAAGCTATCCAAATGGTACCCCTAATTACCTTTTCCCCCATGACTGAGACGTTTTCCACCATTTTATTGGCCGCTACCCCGTCTGGGAAGGAGACTGAGAATTTATATGTTCCGACAGATTTCAGATTGATCGCGGATCTCCACAATGTCGGAAAAAGTCTAGCCATTATTTTGCCAATTTTTATTTCACTCATGATAATGTTTTTATCGATGCGGTTATCTACAACTTTGGATATATATATTTCGAAAGGACCTTTGGACGAAGATCTATTTTGCATGAGTCTCCTATGTGTTTCGGTCAATGCATTACTAGACTTTTCCCTCGCCCCCGGCGAGGGATCAGAGGTCCCATTCGAATATGAAAATGTAGAGAATGTATAGAAGAATTATTGCGTTGATCTTTCACCGATTCCGCATACAAAGAATACTGCGATCTGTCATCAAGGGTATTTAGAGGAGATGACGTGTCCTTATCCGAATCGAGGTTTCCTTTGTCTATGTCCATGGTATAAAATTCCGAAGTGAGCCTTGCAGTACGTGACGAAAAATCTTCCGACTCGAATGCATGTAATCAACAGTGAGATTAGCGATAAAACTTTGTGAGAATGCCAGGTCTAAGATATAAAATGAAAGGAATAGGTTATACTGACAAGGAGCAACAGATCGTTCTCGTTCCGTGTCCAGAACCGAACTCCTCAGCTGTCACTTATTACGAGAGCAGGATGGCATATTCGAGTGTCAAATAAGTAGTGATTGTGGCGTAGACACAAATGTCTTGGAGACTTTGAGTTATAATTGAAGAAATGAAGAAAACAAATAGTGATTGTGAAGAAAAGTGGCAAAAGGCTTCATAAAATTTTAAAAACAGCATATTAAAGGAGAGTATTAATTGTCTAATAATATTTTAAGCGAAAAATATTTTTAAATTTGAGTGTAAGTTAAAAAAGTTATAAACCATAATTTCTTTAATGTTAATAAATTTGTCATCAACGTTGAATGAATATATATATAATGCTATTATTTCCATAGGTGAGGAATTATATTATTGTGTTCAGTAGAAGTAAGCAGCAGACCAAGTTGAATGATATGAGTATCTTGTTAAAAAAATATCACTCGACTTGGTCTGCTGCTTATTTTTTATGAGCGTAATAACATAATTTTCCACCTATGTAAATGCCCAAATAGCGCAGTACGTCTTATGGACGTTCATTTTACGTCCATTTTACGTTCATATATCCATGGACATAAAATAGTTGTCCATTATACGTCCATATAAGTACGTACATTGACTAATAATAAACGTACATCCAGTGGACACCATTTGAAATCCACTTTATATAATTAATGTATGGATATATACTGTACGTCCAATGGATGATCGTACATGGACATGTTTTGGACTATTCATTTTTTGTTCCAAAAAGGATGGAAATTTACAAATTCTTTATCGTAATTCATCTGTAATATTATAATAAATAATAAATATTACATGGTAATGAGTATTACATAAAATTCACTGTTTGCATTTGTGATCAAAAGTTAACTAAGTTAACTAAGGCCGGTATTCATAGTCGGATCTTATATTTAAGAACGTCTTAAGTTTATCTTGAGAATATGTATGGATCATTTCATTGGCTACTGAATATCTGAAGATGAACTTGAGATAGTCTTAAATATAAGACTATCTCAAGTATCTGACTATGAATACCGGCCTAACAATTTGTGTATAATAAATGCACGATTCATATTTAGTTCGCGAGTTTGCATAACCAATGGTAAAAAAGAAAAGAATATTACAAATGGCAGAGCCAATAATATCGATCGTCAGCGCGCGACACATGATCGATGCTCGATTACCGCCATTTCCTGGGTACCTATTATGGAACTCGTCGGAATCGATTCCGATCGGAAACGTTCAATTATTTCCTACATTTCTATTGTCTTTTCTAAAGCATCGTCTACAATGAAGATTTAAGACTTAAGCTTTAAGAAATTGACTAATTCTATTGGATCATTCTTGTAATAGTCGATTGTGATTGGTCAATTTCTTAAAGCTTAAGTCTTAAAGTTTCATTGTAGACGACACTTAAGGGAAACGGAATTATTCCGATCGGAATCGATCGAATCGACGAGTTCCATAATAGGTACCCTGAAAGTGAACGTTTGGATTCCAATCGTAAGATTTCAGTGAAATAATCAATCAATCAGCCGTTTTAACGGCTACAAAATAGAGATAATACGACTATACGGATACGAGAATTAAAACTGTAAGTTGTGTATATGTATAATTGTGTAGTACATATGTTTTACACGCATTTGTATAAATTATTTGGGCAATTTTATAACTTAAAAATTTGGTATTTTATTGATACATATATTTTTTGTTATCAAACAAGAATAGAATATAATTAAGTGTACAGTACTATTTATTCATTTGCTTATCGTGATTATAATTTATTTTAAAACAAATATGTAATTCTGCTTCGATAATATTTATTCTGTTTGAAATTGTAATTATGATAAGCTAACAAAATGAATAATATATGCATGCATAATGCATATTTCAGATTTCTGTGCCGTATTAAAATCATGTATATATTCTCATTAATAAAATCACAATCTAACAACATAATATATTAATGTTATAATTTTCTACTCAACAAATGTAATTGTAATAAACAAGATACATTACATTGCAGTTACATTATTGAGTACGAAATTATAACATTAATATTATATGTTGCTGTTAGATTGTATTTTTACTGGGAATATGTGATTTTTATACAATATATGTAAAAGTCTGAAATATGCTTGATATACAGGGTGCACGATTTATGTGATTTTGATACAATATATGTAAAAGTCTGAAATATGCTTGATATACAGGGTGCACGATTTATCTGAAGACATTGAAATATCTCGAGAACTATGCATTGGATAAAAAAATGAATTGGTTAATGAAAGTTGTTAGTCTCGAAGGGGGACATCCAATGATACCAAACTCGACCTCCCACCTCACCCTCTAGGGGTGGGGGTTGAGGGCAACTTTGAAATCTTAAATGGAAACCCCCATTTTTTACTGCAGATACGGATTCTACGCCACAAAATACGTAAATTTTGTCCGAAACTTTTTTTTTTATTCGTGATAGATGGCGCGGTAAACCCGAATCGAAGAGGGAACTGCTCGACGCGCCACTGTGGGTATATGGCGAACTACGGCTTATTATAAAAGGCAGTGCAATGCTATCTATCACGAATGAAAAAAATTATTTCAATAAAAATTTCACGTACAATCTAATTCTGCGATGAAAATGTGGGTCCCATTTGAGATTTGAACGTTATCACCCACCTACCCGAGAGGATGGGGGGGGAATAACTTTTATTATGTTCTTTAAAAATATTGAACAGGTATTTTTATTTCTCAATCCAATGATTCTGGAGAATTGCGGAAAATATAATTTTTTGCGATTACAGCACCATCTATCACGAATAAAAAAAAAAGTTTCGGACAAAATTTACGTACTTTGTTGCGTAGAATCCGTATCTGTAATAAAAAATGGGGGTTTCCATTTAAGATTTCAAAGTTGCCCCCAACCCCCACCCCAGGGGGTAGGGTGGGAGGTCGAGTTTGGTATCATTGGATGTCCCCCTTCGAGACTAACAACTTTCATCAACCACTTTTTTTTATCCAATGCATAGTTCTCGAGATATTTCAATGTCTTCAGATAAATCGTGCACCCTGTATATCTAGGATATTATTGATTTTGTTAACTTATAATTATTACTATTAACAAAAAATATTTAAAAATATAAATTAATTTAAAAAATATGGTAGTGTTTAGCTTATGTGAATACATCTCAGCCAACGGTGATTTTTGAATAGATTCAATATCAAAGCAGAACTATTTCAGAACATATTTTTAATATTTTTAAAAGAAATTATAATCACGATAAGCAAATAAATAAATACTGTACACTTAGGAATCTATTCTGTACCCTTTAATGATATGTTGTTGTGTATCATTGCGCAGCTATTACATGATACATAAAATCTGTGCAGTAATGCATAACAACATTGTTAAAAGTTACAGAATAGGCTCCTTAAATTCTATTCTTGCTTGATAAAAAATATGTATTGTCATATAAATAAAATATTAATTTAGTTTATTGTTAGTACATAGACTCAAAGTATGAAAGTCTGAAATACAAATGCATCATGAACACATTCTTATTTTCTATATTCTTTAGAATAAGTTTACCTTTAAATATAAATTAAGACATTTTTTATTTTGTAGAGTTTTAATTCTGGAGCGCAAGACCACCAGATTTTGGGAGATTGCACTAGAGGCTGTTATACAGAAAATAAAAAATAAGTATGCCTAAAATTTCTACTAAATATTATAGGCGCGCAAAAGCCTGTACAGATATTTCAATAAATTTAATAAAATCTGATGATTTTGCTCAATATTTAAATAAAAATAATGATATGAATAAAGAATTTATTACAACACCATGCATTGATGGCCACATTGAATTGGATAATGATTTCAATATTGAGATTGATAACATAGATAATAATATAGATAACAATATAGGTAATATAGATAACAATATAGATAATATAGATGATATAGTAAATTTTCACTTAGATAATGATGAGTCTGATAACAGCAATGATTCGAGTAATGAAAATACTTTGAATAACGATGAATTAATTAGTAATTATGAAAATTTCAATAATACAGCTAATGAATCTTCGTTAGCATCTCAACTTGCTACTTGGGCTCTGAAAAATATGATTACTCATATTGCTCTGAATGAATTATTAGGTATTTTAAAGTCAAAACATAATGATTTGCCTTCGGATGCTCGCGTATTAATGAAAACTCCTAGAAAAAAAGCTTTAAAAATTGTTGAACCAGGACATTATTTTCACTTCGGTTTAAATAGTTGCGTTCAGAAACTTTTTTCATTTATAACTTTAAGAAATTTACAACAAGTAGAAGTTTATATAAATATTGATGGTTTATCTCTTTTTGAAAGTTCAAATCAACAGTTGTGGCCAATATTATGCAGTTTAGTTGAAAATCGTAGTAAAGTAGGTATTGTAGGCATATATCACGGAGAAACAAAACTAAATGATGCAAATATATTTCTAAAAGATTTTATCAATGAAGCTATCGATTTATCAACGCATGGTATTACAATAAATGAATCTAACTATCCCTTTAAAATTAAAGGTTTTATATGTGATACGCCTGCTAAGGCATTTATTAAGTTTACTAAAGGTCATACTGACGTTATTATTCGTGTAGAAAATGTCATATTGAGGGGGATTATATTAATGGTAGAGTTTGTTTTTCGAGTTTAAGAAAATTTCGTGATAGAACCGATTTTGAATTTAGATCAAAAATTGAAGAAGAACATCATGTAAATTCAAAAATTTCAGATCTTGAATTAATTAAAGATTTAAATATGATTATAGTGATTTTCCTGTAGAGCCAATGCATTTCATTGATCTGGGCGTTACAAGAACTTTAGTACATTTGTGGTGTTTTGGTAAACCACCAACAAAATTTTCTCATACACATATTTCACAAATTTCTGATTTATTAATAAATCAAATTAAAAATATTCCATTAGAATTCAATCGTAAACCGAGATCATTACAAGAAAGTAGAAGGTGGAAGGCAACAGAATTTAGGCAATTTTTACTATACACAGGGCCTGTTGTTTTAAAATCTGTTCTCAGTCATGACAATTATCTAAATTTCATGTGTTTGAATGTTGCTGTAACTATTTTATCATCTCCTCATATTCAACATTTAGATTATGCTAATTCTCTTTTTAATTATTTTGTAAAATCTTTTATCATTTTGTATGGTAAAGACAATTGCACAATTAATATACATAATTTGTTACATGTATGTGATGATGTAAAAAAATTTGGTCTTTTACAAAATTACAGTGCCTATCCCTTCGAAAATCATATACAAAAAATAAAAAGATATATTCGTAAAAAAGATAAACCGTTACAACAAATAATAAATCGTATACATGAAGAAAACTTCGCGGAATTAAACAAAGAAAATAAATTGAACACCGAACCCGAATTATTAAATAAACATAATAACGGCCCTTTACATCGAAATTTATATAGAAGTCAGTGGGAAGAAATAGTGTTTCCTAATTTTACTTTGAAAATAAAAGAACCAGATAATTGTTGTAGGTTAAACAATGGTGACATCATTTTAATTAAAAATATTGCCAGTATAGACAGTGAAAATGCAGTAATAATAGGAAATAAATATGAATTAATAACAGATTTTTATAATGAACCATGTAAATCTTCTAATTTAGGTATACATTTAATGGAAAATATTAGTAACAATCTTCAAAGGTGGAATATTAATGAAATATTGCATAAATGTGTCAGATTACAATTTAAAGATAAATTTGTTGTTTTTCCTTTACTTCACTCTCTATGATCGGATTATGATTTTATTTTTACATATTAAAAAATTTTAATTCAATATTATTTAAGTAATGTCGATTGAATTTTATATTTTATATTTAAGTGATGTCAATTCTATTTATTATATTTTATAATAAAAATTAACAAATTATTAATAAAAATGTTAATATTAAAAATTATGAATATAAAATAATAAAAATATATTAATTATTCTTTTGTGAACTAAATTTTATTAACGGTATGACTCTACAATTATAATATTCGGAATTATTGTGATCTAGAATTATTGGGTGCATCCAGAAACATGACCGCTCACTTCAAGGTTGTGCTTCTGGATGCATCCAATTATGTACTAATTGTTGAGAATATGTAGAAAAATATGGCAAAAACGTGGACAATCGTCACTTTCACGGATGAAGATACTGTGGAAGCGGTTCCATCTAGTTGGTTAATTAACAATAAGTGTTATTGGCCATCGCTTCCATTAGATAAATTAACTGCAGCAATTAGAAATCACGAAGAACCAAATACTTGTTGGCCCTCGTATCCTGTTCGGATTCTAAGACATGGAACTTTCAGTAAATATATATATAGTAGTAGTATATATACTACTTATATTATGTTTTAATTAAAAAATTATTTATTGTACCTTGTTACGTTATATGCAACTTATTATTTTGTTTCAGACAATTATTCAATAGCAAAACAGAAATGTTGTAAAGCAGAATATTCTTCTGATATAAATTCTGATGTCAGCGGTAGATCAGCCGTGTCTAAAAGGAAAATCACGAAAAAAACGTATGGCTCCTCATTTGAGGAGAGTAATTTATCGTCGTCAGACGATAATAACAATGATAACCAGTTCGCCACTAAATTACCGACTCCCCCACGTATGAAACCAACAAACGGTTTGTATACATTTATCTATCTGATACATTACAGAAATTTTATAAAAATTTTATAAATAAAATAAAACAGTAGCAATTTATTTATGAATTCAAAAATTTACATTTAAAATTTGATCCTCAATTGTTTTTTCTTCAGAAGTCAATACATTTATAAAAATCAAGCCGAAAAAAAAGAACAATGATGAAGCTACTAATAATATTAGTACATTATCAAATGCAGAGAAATTTCGAAAGGGCGAAACTTCAAAATCTAATGGTTTTCAAATTATTTTTTATAATATAGTTTTATAATAATTAACTGTGTCTCAAATGTAAAATTATAATGTTTTTTTTGTAGATTTTGATAATAACGAAGATTTGAATAGCAATGACCGGCCATTTATGAATGAATGCAAATGTTGTCCACTACATTTACAATACAATTGCGGTATGTATAGAGGATGGCACTTAATTTGTACCCACTATTTGCACAATGATATTCCTCATGGAAAACCTTGTCAAAAAGTTCTGAATAATTTTTTTCTATAACATATAATAAAGGAATAATTATTGAGTAAAATATAGCCAAACAGCGCCAAGCTTTAGCTTGGCGCGCGTCAATGAACCGCGGGTCTAATAGTGTTTGCGTGAGCATACATTACTAGGCGCCCAGCTCACTAACACCAGGCTAAAGCTCGGCGCTGTTTGGCTATATTTTACTCAATAATTATTCCTTTATTATATGTTATAGAAAAAAATGGTTCAGAACTTTTTGACAAGGTTTTCCATGAGGAATATCATTGTGTAAATAGTGGGCGCAAATTAAATAACACCCGCCTGTATATTTAATCTACAGTTTATATATATTTTTTGTTAAACTTATCGAACTTACGTACTACGCGCGCGCATATGTTCGACAATTTATTAATAAATTCCATTTTTCTAGAGAAATATTTCAAAGAGATTATTCGTCAACAAAATATACTGAAAGCAAATATGTGGCAATACACAGATGCACTCCAGGAATTAACTACTTCTATTAATAATCTCGTTGCAAATAATAATGCGAATCAAGTACAAGAAGAAATCTTATTTTTGCAAAAGTTTGATTTTCCTGCACAAACTGAAGAAGATTTAGCTCGTGTTGAGGAATACCTAAATTTAGAAACAAATTTTAACGTTGCGGTAATTTTTTATAATATCTATTAATATTATCAATAGATATTATAAACAATTACTTAACAATTAACAATAGATATTATAAACAATTAACAATATTATTTTCAAATACATGCTACATTTTTTTACATTATATTACAATATTATTAGTTAAAAATTTTAATTAATATATTCTTATTTTGAATTTTGCAGATGAATGAACTTTCAAAGATTGGTGGAAATTCCATATATAATTTTATACAAAGAACCTTACAGTTGCTAACAAACGACCTTGCAGCAACTTATAGTTGGTTAGGGAGGCGGGCAAAGAAAACATTCAATAAACTAAAAGTAGCTGATTTAATAATTGGTAAGTAGTTTATTAGATTATCTTTAACTTAACTTATTTAAAATCACTGTTTTATTGAATATTATTGTTGAATCAATTGTAACTGACTTTTTTGTTAGTTATTTTGATTTTTGGTATTATAACTAAATATATTATGTATTATTTGATATATATGCTATAGTGTATATATCAAATTATACTTTGTATATTTAGATATATTTTGAACTTAATGCAAAATTTCCTGCGCTTTATAATTATTAAATATTTTCAATTAAAATTATTAGGTGCGCAACTAAGTTCCCGCTGTTTTTCAAGAGATGGCTCCAGTAGTAAGTGCTGGTCGATTGTGACATAACCAAAATGTCATGAACCAAGCTTAGACATATGATAAACAAACCGCTTTGACACATTAGTGATTTTGTTTTTGCGTCATATACTTTTGGTTGTGTGAAAATGTCTGATTTTGTGCCAAATAATCGTCATTTGCGGGAAGTGTTGCTTTCC